TAGTTAGTTTCTTTTAGTAACATCACTACTTGTGGAAACATCTGCATTCTGTGATATCTTCATGCATCTAGCTGAATTGTATGAATTATTTTACATGATTTATGAGAGGACTATTCACTTATATGGACAGAGTGGTTAGAATCTTGGATGGGAGAAGTGCAAATGCACTGTAAAGCCAGGTCACTATGTGTGCGAGTCTACCTAAGATACACAATTCCAGCTACAACAATAGTGTAGCTGGATCAACATACCTTAACTTGAATTTTTGTAGCATCCCCACTCCGGGAGGTCAACTTCCCTTACTTCTTGTGACCCCAGGGAGTACTGGGGCCAACGGGGGAGCCATCAGCGGTCAATTTAGTGGGTCCTTACTAGACCTGCTAAATCAAACCCTGGAAGATTGACTTCTGGGTTTCAATCTCGTGGTAAATGTAGACCTGGCCTATGAGTAGCTGGTGAATTCTATTGGGGTATGAGGTTCATGCATGACTTTATTTTGCATAGAGAATGGGGAGGGAGGGGAATTCTGTGCAGATAACAAAAAACCAAAACAACCCACTCCCAAAACTGAACAGCCCTCCTATAACTGCAGTATTCCAGGTTTTTTTTTGCTTCCATATTATGTCCTTTGTTCCCACCCGTTGTGTTTTTATACTATACACACTTTAGTGCAGAGTTTTCTTTTCCCTCTGTGTTTGGAAAGTACCTAACAAATTAGCCTTGTAACTCCTAGCATAATGACGTTAATGACACCAGATTCAGCCAGGTATTAAGCACTGATTTTACTGAACTACTAGCATTTTTATGCACTTTACTGAATTAGGCTCATTATATGGAAGCTCTGTATTTCTTGAACATTTATAAATGTATAAATACATATTTTAGCTTTCTACAAATAACTCTTTTTACTAATGTTTATGCATACACTCCCTGCCAAAAAATAGTCGGGATATGATTTTTGTGGGCATCTCAATCTGCATTATGCAATAAATGTACCTTTACAGAGAGGTAACAATTGCATTATATCACTCTTACTCCATTGTTATTGCACCTCAAAAGTATTTTTAGTTATGCATCTGGTGCTAGTAATTTTTGTGAGACATCTACTTTTTTTCATCATTGGCTGGGAAAAACAGGTGAATAGGTGTTTTTCCCAGGCTACTAAATTGCCCTGCCGATTTTTACAAAATTGGATTAATTTAAATTGAATTAAAGTTGGATTAGTTTTCATTGGTTTCAGTGGAAGATAGAAGCCTAAATCCTTTTGAGGATCTAGTTCTGAGTAACTCTAAATTGAATCCTTATTTAAGACACTTCTTTGAAGTGTGACCAAGTTTTTTTTTTCTCACTGACATTGAGAACTGTAGAATTAAAATGTATCAAGATTTAAATCCTGATTTTAACTCAAATTCTCCTTTTGCTAGGACTGGTGATAAAACACATCCACTAAGGTTGAGAGAGATGTATATTTAAAAAGATAGTGAACTATTCTGATATGTTACAAGTAACAAGTAAAATTCTGCTGTGTATTCATGGCTTCATGAATTGTTAGGAATTTATTACTATAAAACAATTTAGATACTAATAATCACCCTTCTTTGGGGGGGGGGGGAGATAATTGAGTGATGCCTTATATTATCTTGTGCAAGCTTTACTTACAAGAGTCTTAATACCTCCTGCAGGGCAGGTAATGTTAACTGATTATCACATTTTGACAGTTTTTCAAACAGGTTGGCTCTGTGAAACAGAACTGTATAAAATTTAACCTTCTAAAGTTAGCATATAATGTGTCATTATAGGAACAATAAAACAAGAGCTTCTTGCTTCTCAATTTGCAGAGCAATAAAACATACCCTTTTATCTCTGAGAGACACTTCTTGCTGCTGGCATAGGGCACAAAAGTTCAGCCACTTGAAGTCCTACAGAAAACTGTGGGCTTTCAGATTTGAAAATGTGTGCTTCATTTCAGCAGCCTCAGATAGAAGAGGGCAATATTCTCTATGAAAATCTCCTTTTTTTTCAAGGGAAATGCATCTGTAGTAGAAATGATGACAGGTTGCTGTGATCAGTTCAGAGTAAGAGCTTCTTACTTGGCTACCCACTTGATCCAAGATGTCTGGCTTTGTTCTATTACAATTTGCTTTTTTGTTGTTGACTTTAGCTTTATGTTGAATATGCTACTGTTTAGGAGTTGATTCCAACTGTAATTAAATTAACAATAAACACACCAAATCTACAGTAAAGTCAACAACTACATAGCCCAAAATGTTATCTTGTAACATTTCCCTAAACTTATTCTTGGCTCATGGTAAGCTAAACAACAGTCCCTGTCTATAAGACAGAATGCCTAGTAGGTTGAAGCTTCATAAAATGAGCTTAGCACTTTTTCTTTTCTTTTTTTTTTCTTTCATGGCAGGTTATTAAACCCACTATCGTACAGGAAAATGTTTTCTGATATAAGGTCATGATAACAGTGCTCCCAATATTAACCCCCAATATATTTTCCTTCACTATAACAACCTCTTTTTATTACACACAGAATGCCCTGCTCACAGAAATGCTCAGTTGGGGTTTTGCAAGTACTCTAAGCACAAATTAGAGATGACGTCGTATAAAAAATGGGATAGGTCAGACTCCATCGTCCCCAGTAAGGTCACAGAAGTGTAAATTCTTCAAACAAAAATAGAGATGAATTTTTTTCTACCCTCTATTTCAAAAAAGTTTGGGGAAGATTTTCCTATAATGAAAAGATACTTTTATTTTTCTTTTAAAGAAAACAAAATATTTTAAAGCTTTCAGTTCTGCTTTAAATTGCATTCTTAATTTACTTTGCAGTTAAAATGGATATGGAAATCTAGTATTCTGTGGGTACAGGATCAGGGCCTGTAAGAAGATAATGGAAAAACACCTGCTGATGTCAGTGAGCTCTGGAGAAAGCATGTACTCCATATCTGCTAGCCTGCAATCTCAAAAAACTCATGCATGCAAGTGGATTGCATGCAGATACAGAGTGCTAGGTTGAGTCCCCGGGAACATTTGGCCCCAAGGATTGGAGATAACTCTTATGCAGCTACTATACATGATGATGTCCTATTCCTTGTACTGCATGAATCAAAGTCAAGCCCTTAGCTGTGCATAAGCATATGTCTGAAAACCTCAGCTGGCCAGGGAAATAAAAGCTGTAAATGTCACATTCTAGTCCACCCCAAGACCAATGGAGTAGACCTGGTTTATGTGCTGAATAGCTGATGTTTAAAATTATGTGAAATGTATCAATTAGATTAATTGACATGTATGTATTTATAATTTTTTACTCAGGTCTTAAAGAATTCCAGATTAACCCAAACCAGCATAGGTGAGCTTGACAGAGACACGGAGAACATAGAAACAAGGGGGAAAGGGGAAATAATTAGGGAAGGTATGTGAGACAGCTCCAACTCCAAGACAATGAGATTGTTGGAGCTAAGGTAGGAAGTCTAATATTTGCACAATTTTCAGAAAATGCCACGTACCATGTAAGTGCTGCTGCTGATTTTATTGGAGTGGAAGTTCAGAAGCTGAAGGAGAGAAATGTGGGTGCAGCAAGAGGGAGTGAGAGAAGGCACCATGAAGGAAACCAGGGAATCAGGAGAGAGAAACTGGGGAGAAGCAGCTAAGGGGAAAGCATGCTGGAATGATGGAAAGGAAGGATCAGAAATGTCAGGGGAAGTTTAGGAAAGAAAAAAGTGTCAGGAGATCTAGAAAAGAAGGCAGAAAATTGGTAACCACGGAAATGGAACAGGAAAAAAGAGGGTGGTGGGAAAACAAAGTGAAGGAAAGAACTTGAGAAATGAAAAAAATACCAGTAAAGAAAGGAAAGACAAATACTGTAGCTGGAAAGCTTCATTTTTCACCATATGCTTGTTCATTTTCCAACATCTTTTTGTTTTCTGCTATAAAGAGTGTCTGAAGAGAGGGAGAGAGACTAATTTTAAGCCTAGATAGGGGAAATTATTGGGGATAATCATGGCCTTGTCAAGACAAATATTTATCATGCTGATGGGGCCAATTTATTTGCTGTTTGGAGCATTGTCATTAGGAGGCAGTAGAAGATGATAATCCCACATTGGGTAATTATTTAGAACAATTCATTCTAATCTAATTAATGACAACTGGAGGCAGTTGGGAAGCTTGACGCAAAAGATCAAACAGACCATGGAAAATCATAGAAGCTGTGTTCTTGAACAGTATATCTTTACATGTCTGCACTGGGTGCTTTTTGTTTCGTCAGCTGTGTTATGTTATCAGGGGTGTTAGTAGTAACTTTTAAGGCATCATGTACATTGACTTTCTGTGAAACCATCTGAAATTCCTAGAGAATGAATTAAAGGGGAAGCCAGTTAGAATGATATCAGTCTCCTTGAGGAGTTTGATTTAAATGATGTCTATCACCAGGACTTGACAAATAATACAATCTACTCGCCCGTGGTGAGTAGATTGCAACCCGGAAGAGCCGGGTTCAGGCGATCTGTGCATGTGTAGAATGATCTGCGCATGCGCAGATTGCCAGACAGTGCGGCTGGCAAGCGGGGCTCGCTGCGGTTTGGTGAGCCCTGTCTATCGCATTTGGCTGTACAATTGCGCTTTTTTTTTTAGGGGGATGTTTCTCAGCACTCTTATTCACTGCTTGCCACAGTAGGAAAATCCTATGGGCTAAGGAAAATTAGTGCCACACTAAATGGAACCTATATATATTGTGAAGGACTCAGGGCAGCCGGCTACAATAGTTTGGTAGAGGGCAAATATACAGAGAACTGGGCAAATAGCTTTCTGTTCCCTGAGTGAACTGGCCACATAATTAAGACAGGCAGGCACCTCAGACAGATTAAGATCTTACCTGAAGCAGCAAGCTAATCAGGGCACCTACATCCCATTAAGGCCTAGTTTAAAAGGCTTCCCCTGAGGAAAGGCAGGAGAGACAAGAATCATAGAGCTGGAAAAAGAAAAGCCAAGGGCTGAGATAAGAGGGGTGCTCTTGAGGAGCTGAGGTCTGCAAGGAGGGAAGTGTGCTGTGCAGGGAGAAAATACTAGGCAGTGTGTTTGGGGAAGTAGCCCAGGGAAGAGGCTACTAGACTGGGGCTGGAAGAAAACTAGTGTCAGTTCCTGCTACCTTATGGTCCCTGGGCCAAAGCCTGGAGTAGTGGGTGGGCCCAAGTTCCAACCAAACCTTCCCAGACCACGGCAGAATTTACCTCAGGAAAGGGAGACCAGGACTATGGAGGGGGTTTCACCCCAACCCTTGGACTTGCCTGTAACGAGGATGGCTCAGTAAGCTGTTACCCTTGCCTCTAATAAAGGTCAGGAGGCTGTATGGAGGGTCACATTGAGGCCTATGGTATCTGCCTAGAAGCACAGCACCTCAGGGCACAGCCAGAGATTTGCTACAATATATGGAGAGAGAGAGGTGTATTAGCAGCAATAACATGCCCCTGAAATTTAGTAATAGTGATGCTAGTGACATTTTTGGCAAAGAAAGAGATCTGCTGGGGACCAGAGTGACATTGGCTGCTGAATTGTCCTTTCTACATTTTAAGTGTAGCACACAGAAAGAAAAAGAACTTAAACCGTTCAAATGGTGACAGTTGGTATTAGTGTGAGAATGTAGGTAACGCGCATAAAATTAGCAGGTTATATTCTGCCAAGTTTCTTCCTAATTGATGTCATTTAGACCTTCTCAGTAGGCCTTGGAAACACTAACACTCAAGTTTCCCCATGGTCCTTTGCTATTGAAATAAGACAATGCGGTTTTGCAGTCATTCTCAAAACTGGAAATTAATTTCTCTGTGATCTTTAAAATTGATAATGCCTTTGAGCTCAGTCTTGCAAGGTGCTGAATGCCTGAGTTCCCCTTTAGGTGAGGGGAGGCATTCCATACCTGCTATGACCAGGTATTTTGTTTCTGCATTTAATCTTAGCATATTTGTTTTCCTGTGGGTCCTGGGATAAAAAATGTGGTATAGTGTCTCTGTTTCCTAATTTCACCTCAGTGCACACTGGAGTGTGTCTATTTGGTGGAAGTGGATGGCAATTTACCTCCTCCCTCCCAAAAAACTAAGGAATGCTTTTTTGTTTTGAACAGCACTTACCACACCAGAGCTGCTTTTCAGCACAAATACACAAGGAAATGGTAGCACCTAGAAGTAGTGCACACTTACAGCAGCTTCACTGATGTGAAAGGTATTGAGGGAACATTATTGTGTGGGTGAACAGCTAATTAAAGTGATCTCTGGTAGGACTTGACATACAAGATGCTTTGGTAATATTACAAGAAGGTCTTTTGTCAGTCTGTGATGGAGTCTCTAAATTGCCTCTTATATAACACAGTATATCTGGGATCACATGGTTACAGTATATCATGGGGTCAAGGGTTATGAGTTATGTCTATTACGTTCTATTCTTGGTTTTGCTAATGATTTATTTGAACTCTGCCTCAAATTTTCTATCTCCAGAGAAGGTAAAATACTTCATAGGAATGGTGTGAAGCTTAATTTGCATGTCTAAGTTGCTTTGAAATCCCTGGATGAAAGGATTTACAGAAATACATCAGGTTTTGCTATGCAACATTTAAAAAATCCATAACTAAGTATTTATTTATTTACATAGGACCTGTGAGCTCTAGTCATGGATCATGACTCCACTGTGCAAGCACAAGGCAAACACAGAACAAAAAGTCCACAATACGTGCAAAGAAGTAAGTGTAATAGGAAATGAAATGGAAAGCTATTATTAAAAGTCAGAATGGCACATTTCTATGCTGAGTTCCCTTAAGAAAATAATGAAAACCCCAGACAATACTACAGGCATGATTAAAAGAGGTGACCTCAGGTCCATCATGTTAGTGCTGAGCTCATCCTGTGAAATGCTGCTCGTATTATTTTTTTTCCTTTGGCACTTAGCCTATTGCTGGACTAGGTCCACAGTGCTTCAAATAAGGTGGTTAAAAATAGCTATAGTAAACTGCATAATCTAAATTCAGATTTGAAATACTTTGCCATTCCATCCAGACTGGCCTTGAAAGTTTACCATCCCAGACATAAAATTCTACTTGCTTGCCCTTCCTGAGGTAATTAATAAAAGTGAAATCATAGTCTTGTCAAAGGAAATAAATGGTCTGCAAGGAATGGACTCCTATTTCAAAGTAAGACTTTAATGTTGTTATCTAATTATAAGTTCCTAGAATAATATTTGGAACAAGGAACTGGACTCTATTGGCTTTACCAGGGTTAGGTAAATCATTAGTAATGATGCAATCATTAGTTCTTAATGAGACTGTGGACAGCAGAAGAGCATAATCTCTAATCCTAGGATATTCATCTTCCCTCACAGGGGAAAGAGGGCATAAGAGTCTTGATTCAGTGCCCAATTATGTCAACGGGACCTCAGAATACCACTTAACTCAGCAGAATCTGAGACAGCGAAGCTCTTTACAATTGGGCAGTATATTCCATTTCAGAGGAGGCTTAATTCTAGTGATGGGTAAAGTGCCCACTACTTACAAGGGAAATTCACATGGAATGAGGCCAAAATGTTGTCATTTAGCAGTTTGCAAATTACCTATATTTCTCTACTCTTGTTGGGGTAAAAGACATGTCACATTAATGAACACATTGTGGACCAAGTATCAGAGGGGTAGCCGTGTTAGTCTGGATCTGCAAAAGCGACAAGTAATCCTGCGGCACCTTATTGACTAACAGATGTATTGGAGCATAAGCTTTCATGGGCAAAGACCTACTTCGTCAGATGCATATAGTGGAAATTTCCAGAGGCAGGTATAAATATGCAGGCCAGAATAAGGCTAGAGATAACGAAGTTAATTCAGTCACCGAAGATGAGGCCCACTTCTAGCAGCTGATGTGGAGGAGTGAACACCAAGAGAGGAGAAACTGCTTTTGTACTTGGCTATCCATTCACAGTCTTTGTTTAATCCTAAACTGATGGTGTCAAATTTGCAGATAAACTGTAGCTCAGCAGTTTCTCTTTGAAGTCTGGTCTTGAAGCTTTTTTGCTGCAGGATGGCTACCTTTAAATCTGCTACTGTGTGTCCAGCGAGTAGCTAGCCATTCACAGTCTTTGTTTAATCCTGAGCTGATGGTACCAAACTTGCAGATGAACTGTAGCTCAGCAGTTTCTCTTTGAAGTCTGGTCTTGACGTTTTTTTGCTGCAGGAGGGCTACCTTTAGATCTGCTATTGTGTGTCCAAGGGGACTGATGTGTTCCCCTACGGTTTTTTGTATATTACCATTCCTAATACCTGATTTGTGTCCATTTATTCTTTTACGTAGGGACTGTCCAGTTTGGCCAATGTATATAGCAAAGGGGAATTGCTGGCACATGATGGCGTATATTATATTGGCAGATGTGCAGGTGAATGAACCAGTGATGGTGTGGCTGATCTGGTTAGGTCCTGTGATGGTATTACTGGTGTACATATGTGGGCAGAGTTGGCACTGAGGTTTGTTGCATGGATTGGTACCTGAGTTAGAGTTACTGTGGTACGGTGTATAGTTGCTGGTGAGAATTTGCTTCAGGTTGACAGGTTGTCTGTGGGCAAGGACTGGCCTGCCTCCCAAGGCCTGTGAAAGTGAGGGTTCATGGTCCAGGATGGGTTGGAGATCACTGATGATGCATTGGAGAGGTTTTACTTGAAGACTGTAGGTGATGGCCAGTAGCGTTCTGTTGGCTTCTTTCTTGGGCTTGTCTTGTAGTAGGAGGTTTCTGGGTACATGTCTGGCTCTGTTAATCTGTTTCCTCACTTCCTCGTGAGGGTATCGTAGTTTCAAGAATGCTTGGTGAAGATCTTGTAGGTGTTGATCTCTGGCTGAGGGGTTGGAGCAGATGCGGTAGCAATTTTTCATTGGGACTTACTAAATATATCTGCAGTTACACTGGCCTTGAGTCTGTTACTTGGCATCGTACCCTATATGTATTTAATTTTTTTTTTGCATGAGAAATGGATGCTTTCCCAAGTTTTTGTGGGTGCAACTAAGGGGAGGTCTGCAAGGACAATATGATTTCAAAATCACCCCTTTAACTACACTCCTTAATGAATAAATAAATACACGCACATTTCCTTTAGCTTTCAGCATTGTGTTTCATTGAAACTGAATCTGAAAGGTTTGAGAAATTGAGGAACACTCTGGCCTGGCCTAAGGAGATGGCAATTTAAATCGATGTGTCAAAACACTAGGGAGTGTTATCAGGTACAATTTCTTTATGTGATAACAGTAGTTCAGTGGTTCTTGAAATAGGCAAACTTCTAAGTCCTGGAAACCAAAATAATAACAATCTTGTAAACAAGAGGCTAGTATGATTGGTCTTGACATTTTAATTTACTGTTTGTTAAAAGTTCATTTCTTTGGCTTGAACAGGCTCGATTGGAATGAATTTGAACACCTCATCGGAGAAGTTTTGCTAAAACTGCTTATAACATGGCATAAATGTTACTTGCTAAGAAAAGGGATTTAATATGAAATTGTCTTCAGCTGGCAGAATCTGACTTAGATAGTTTTATTTAGTATCTTATTGCTCACATTTCCAAGATAATCTTTTTCCACAGATAGTCTTCACTTCTGATTACTTCCCTTTGACATAATAACATTCAGCCTGTGTGTAACTATAAGCTTGTTCTCAACTTGTTCTATTGATGTAACTTCAATTAATTGCATACATACAACAAAATATAATACAATTGTACCTTAACTGTACACCCCTGTTGCTAATTTCAATAAATATTGTATTTTCTGCATTGCATCAGGAATTCAATTCCCTCATGGGGCTATAATTATTTCCATTTTCAAAACATAATATAATGCACACTTGAGAAGGTATCACTGTCAGGTAAATATATTTTGGGAGTACAGATTGATTTAGGGCACAGTCTTGGAGATGTAATTAAAGAAAGTAGCTCTTTTGGCTTGCATAGTTAATAGGTTGTGTGTTCTTTCAAAAGTTGTTCATTGGGAAACATTCAAATTCTGCTGTAATCACATGGAAATGATCCAGATTTCCTTTCCTTTTCTCTGGTTATACTATGTTATTATTATCATTTGAGGTGTAAAGCATCTTAGCCTTTAATTATAATCATGTATGAATATGCAAGCAGCAAATTACATTTTGTAATGATATTAAGTAAATAAGCTTCATTTGGCAGATTTTAAAACCTTGTAAGGTAAGAAGATTGGTTGTGCTGGTAATGAAATAGTTTCTGCCTCTTCTTACGCTTCAGAGAACTTCTTTGACAGATATTCTGCTTTCACTAGTTACCTCTTACATATTCTAATATTAAAGCAGAAGTTGTGCCTTCCAGTGGAGATATTTGCATTTGCTTTCTTTGATTCCACATTGAATGGCTTGTTTAATTGCATATTGAGCAATACCCAAAGGAAGGAAACTATTTGCGTCACCATTATACCTACAGTGCATTAACCCATATCAATGAACTACAGGCACTTGCTGCATTCTAAATCGATAGTTCTTTAAATGTTCAGCACAGTGTGATTTTAAAGTCAAGTTCACTTAGATATGTTTAACAGTGCTTTAAAAAAGTTATTACCAGCTGTATTGGTAGCAAAACACTCATGCTGCTTATGAGTTGGCTGGTTTCCCAACTTTCACTCTTACCTAGATTATTTTTGGATAGTTTGGCAAATCTGTAGTTTCGGACAGTTCAGCACATCTCTTTGCAATACAACATAAATTCAACCATAAAAACTAATGGACTGGAATACATCAAGGCTCTAAAGACTTATAGCCAATCCCATATATTTTGTGCAGTGAAAGAAGCTATCAGCCTAAGATTTGTCATACAAAACCTCAAGCTGAAATTGAAAAACTATGCAAGCTTCCTTATAATGCTGATCTTTCTTCTGTGAAGAATGAACTGACTTGTGTTGAAATATAATATAATCTCTTGTAAGCAATAACTATTGATGGCTAAACCAATATCCTCATTGCCAAAAGGCAAAATGAGTGATGAAAAGACAAGCATACTTGCATGAAAAGGAATGGTCACCACTTTAGTCAACAAGCCAACATAACAGGACAAGTGGTTGGCTAACTTCACCAATTCTAATAGTCTAATTCCTAACCAGGTGGCTAGAAAGGAGCTCTAGATGTGGCCTCAGGCTACCATGATTCTGGAGTACTCAATAATGTTTGCACTGCTTGGTCATGTCTCCTCACACATATGTAACACTGTGAAGCAGGTCTCAGTAGGTATGGCATACACTGCACTTAAACCCCTTTGCTAGCCCATACCAGCTGAGTCAGACAATGGAGCTATTTAATTGTGTAGCTGCACAGGTTTGGTCTGGAGTCTGGACTCTAGGATGTTATGAGGTGGGAGAGTCCTTGACATTGGACTGCAGAACTAACTGGTATGTCTTCACAGTTAAACAATCCTGTGGGCCATGCCCTGTGAGCCAGAGTCAATTGACATTAGGCAGCCGCTGGTGTTCAATCTTAAAGCCAGCAAAGTACTTAGGTCTATCTTTACCTTTAAAGTCAGCTGGGCTAATTATATGCTTAATGGCACTGATCTGTGACGAGTCATGTGCTTAAAAGTGAGTCTGCACTTGATTATGATCTCAGTGAGCTACTGGAGGATAGGATCCAATAACGGAACTAAGAGTCTCTGGCTTCCACTCCCCTCTTCCTGCTAATAGACCTCACTCACGTACAGGATATGTAGATGTTCTCTACTATTTAAGACACGATTATGCTATATATTCTCTTCTGATAGAAAATGAAATACCTGAGGAATGTACAATTGTGAAGAGGGGGCAATGCAGGAGGGCCATTTGGCCTGGGCCTCAAGCTCAAAGGGGGCTTCATATTTAGACACTTGTTAATTTTTTGGCACTTGATAAGTTTCACAACTTGTTTTTATGCACATTTACACAGAAAAAGGCTAGAAAAGCATTTGTTAAATAAAAAAAATTCAAATCATGCCTCACTCTTTTTTTTCTGTCTTATTTTGTTTTCTTGTGCCATCATTTTTTATTTCTATTTTGGCTGAGGGGGTGGGTCTCAAAAACTGGAAGAGCCTGGGCCTCTTTGGACCTCTGAGAAGAGCTGGCAGTGTAAACTGTGGATATGAATGTATATTATCCAAGCCACCAGCCACAACATTAGTAATTATAGGTTCAACTTCATGTAAACTTTAAAACTACATGTTCATGTAGGCACAATCAGTACTGAGGAAACAAAAGTTAGGTATTTAATTCCAGTCTCTCAATCTCCTGCTTTATTAGAGTGCTTATAACATGGCATAAATGTTATCTATTAGAAAAAGGGATTTAATATGCAATTGTCTTCGGCTGATGAAATCTGACTTAGATAGTTTTATTCAATATTCTTATTGATCACATTTCCACGATCATCTCTTGCCACAGATGGTCTTCGCTTCTCACTTGACTTCACTTCCATTTGACATAACATTCAGCCTGTGTGTGAATGTGAGCTTGTTCTCAACTTGTTTTATTGATGTAACTAGAATTAATTGCAAGCATGCAGGCTGAAATGTGTCTCTGTTCCACAATACTGTAGTGTGCTACAGGATAGCTAGAATAGCTAGGGCTTTGGCTTGGCCAATAATGAAAAGGGGGAAAAATAACAAAAAAAGCAGAATTACTGTACTTCCATATAATGGACAAAAAGATTAAAACTATAGTTCATATAAGTTAAGTTAAGTTCAGTGTCTGATTTAACATATGATTTGTATGTTTAATCTTATGTTATGATGTAAAACACTACATATTATTTATGTGCAGTCCATAATACTACTAATGCATTCTGAATTTACTAGCACTGACTTTCAGATAAGTTGGCAATGAATATTAAATATAACTGCTGTCACAAAAAGGTTTTGCATCATACTCCTGGATAATTTGCAATATATTGAACATTGTGTTTGTTGAAAAATCTTTAGTTTTCATCTAGGAGTTAAAAATTAGCTTTGAACCTGGTGCATTAAATGAATCTATTCTACTAAATACATATGAGCATTTTGAGAGTAAGCCCTTTATTTGGTGGTGTTCAAACATAAACATTATTGTTTTGAAAGCTCGTTGTGCAATCAGCTGTCACTCTTATAGAAATTAATCTTCATGGTCTATAGATCTGTCTTTCTCTGAGGTTTTTGTGTAAATAAATTCAAATTCTTTTCATTTTAATATGATCTAATCAGCATGTATCATGCATTTTAATATTCTAGTTACTAATTATTTAGTATCATTATTCGTTTTCTGGAGTTCATGTGAATTAAATCAGAACAACTCTTGTACCCTCTAGCATTACCAAAGTTTTCTTTTTAGTTTTTTATTAAACATGAGTAAAACTTGATTTTTTTAGTCTTTTGAGAACTTAAAATGAAATGCTGTTTGTCAGTTTTCTCTTTATTTTTCCAAATGATAATTCATTACTAGTAGTATTTTATTACTTTTCACTTATTGTATTTGAATGATTTTGATTGCTTCCTACTTTGTATGAAAGTGCAAACCAAAATATAATTTGCTTTGCCTCCCTTCCCCCTTTTTTGTGAATGTCGTGCTTGTGAAGTGAGCACTGGAAACACAAAGCCGGTATGTCAGCTGATATTAATTCAATGGAGCTACACCAATTACACCAGAACAGGATTTGGCCAATGTCTTCTCTTGATCCCTAGAGAAGATAGGAGCATGCCAATTTGAATTTTAAGCATATTGTATCACTTAGCATGCCTCCATCTTGGTAGAAGTGTACTTTGGCAACTATGTCAATTCAGCCCTTCGGGGAAGGGGCGGGGGATCCCCTTGTGAAAAATTAAAAATGTTAAAGATTGGAATATTCAAATGAACCCCAGGGAGTTAGATGCCCAGCTCTTGTTGAAATTTAATGGCAGGTGGACATCTAACTCTCTTAGGTTCCTCTGATTCAAGGTTACTCCTTTTCTAATGTGAGATTGTAAAGTGAATTCACATCTGCACATACACATGGAGACATCCACAATTGCATGGAGAAGTGTGTTTATGGCCAGACCAACTGCTCTTTTTAAGAGACTTTTTTGTTAGCTGCCATTGTGTTGAAGTAGTAGTATACTTGGAACTCCAGGATGAACCTTTCTATCCAGCATCTTCAGCACCTGACTAGTGCCGAATCAGAGAATTTGCTGGACCATAGGAGGTCAATATGGTCTAGCAGCATTACCAACACTTCCACTGCTTACTCAGCTCTTAGAAGACATTTGGGGTAAATTAGAGCTAAATAACAGCACAGAACACTGAGAGCCAGGACTGGTGGCTGTAAACAAACTTTATGGGACTGTGGGAAACTTGGCCATGCCCTTGAAAAGTGAACATCCAACTAACTAAAATGTAGCCAGACCAGAGAGTCAACCTGTAGAGTGTAGAGCTGGAGACAAGGTGTCATTTACAAAAATAAAACCCTGACCTCACATTTCCTGCCCTTCCACAGAATGAGACTCTGTGGGTGCACCTGAAGTGAGGCTTTGCACTTTGGAAACTTAGGTGCATATTTAAGATTCCAAAGTCTTTGCTTGTGTGACAGGAAAGATTTCAGGAATGATATCTTGGAAATTCTTCAATTTTACCACACTTCTGTATTCTCTGAAATGATTTACTATCTGTGATATATCCTACGACACAGGGTCATGAGTGCCATGTGAACCATCACCAGTGGATCCTTTCCCATCTACATCAAAAGGGTTGGTAACATCTACATGTCCGAAGACAACCCCAAGCACTGTGTCAAATGAGAATT